CCGGGGGCTGGGGGCTGAGCAGGGTCCCCAAAGCCTCCTGCCTTCGCAGGTCCTGAGCAACCTGGTGATGGAGGAGCTGCTCCCCGAGCTGAGGACCACCATCGGCCCCCGGCTGAAGGGCAAGGCTCAGGAGCGCCAGCGGACCTGGATCCAGGTGTGGGGTTGGGGTTGCCGGGTTGGCGGGTGGTCATTGTCCCCTGCCCTCCCCCTGCCTGCACTGTCTCTGCTTTGGGGGCTGCGCTGCTGCCTCGCTTCCCCGCCGGGCTCGGTGCCCACCGGCTTTCCTGCCTGTCAGAGCCAGTGCTGCCCCCCTGCATCGCCCCCTCTCCCGGCCCCCACCAAAGAAGCTGTCCTTATTCTCCACTGTGGCTTTTTAAAGCTCCTTGTTGTGCCCCTGTGAGCAGCCCTGCCCACCCGTCATCCCTGGGGCGAGGGAAGCAAACAGGAGGAAGCCCAGCCCTGGAGCAAAGCCCGTCCTGGCTATATTTAGTGAGCCATTTTTAGAGCAGCACAGGCTAAATCCAGCCCAAACCCTTGCGAAAGACTGAGGGCTCTTCAAAACTGTCTGTTAAAACCTTAAAAGCCGATAGATAATTACCACCAGGCTCGTAGTGTGCCACTGGAGTAGCCTAAAAATGCACAAATGCCGCTTTTTCAGTAGCTGCGGTCTTTGCTGCAAAGCTGGGAAGCCCGAGGGAGGGAGGAGGGGCGATGCTTCTGCCTCCTGACAGCCCCGAAATCGCAGTGTTTGGCCGTGAAGTGAGAGAGAAGCCTCAGCAAGCGTCTCCATCCTGCTCATGGGGTTGGCTTCTGAGACCCCAGGCAGGTTGAGCGGAGCAGGGCACAGCTTTCAAAGGGGGTCAGGGGCTCTCCTGCCCAGACCACCAGCATCCCTGGACCATCAGCATCCCCAGACCTGCTTGGGGGAGACTGGCTGACAGAGGCTACAGGGAGGGGTCTGGTCAGGGCATTGGCAAAGGCTCAGCAGGTCCTGCTGGCACCTGGTGCTGGAGGTGATGATGAGCAGGGGCAGCAGGAGGTGTGGGGGGCAGCTGACCACCCCATCTGTCTTGCCAGATCTCAGATGCCGTCTATAGGATGGTCTATGAGCAGACCAAGGCCCAGTATGATGCAGCGGTGGCCAAGTGTGAAGAGGAGCGGCCCCAGATGGAGAGCACCATCCGCACGGACATGGACCAGATCATCACTTCGAAGGAGCACTTGGCCAGCAAGATCCGAGGTACAGCCCTGTGGGGAGACATGCGGACGTGGATGTGTGTAGCTGTGTCTGTGACCGGCTCCTGGCAGGGCATCACCCCTGTTTCACCAACACTGTTCCTGGGGTGCACCATGGCTCCTGCCAGCATGGCCTGGAACCCTTGCGGGGATGCCAGCAGCCACAGTGGCCAGGGTGCATGTCCTCGTTGGCATTGTCCCAAGAGGTGGGGGGTGAGGTGGGCAGTGACCCTCCCAAGCAAGACAACGGGGCAGGAATGGGTTCAATACAGACTGAGGGCCCTCTGCAAGAACCCCTTGCATTGTCCTGCAAGTCTGGGAGCCTTCTCCTGGATGGGACAGGGGAGAGGGGCAGGTTGCCCTCCCTAGGGTGAGTTTAGGACCTGATTTGAAGAGATGGAAGGGCAGAGGAGGAGCCTCACTGTGCTTATCCCCACTCTTTGCCCAGCGTTCGTCCTCCCCAAAGCGGAGGTCTGTGTTCGTAACCATGTCCAGCCCTACATCTCCTCCATCCTGGAGGCCCTGATGACCCCCACGAGCCAGGGCTTTGCCGAGGTGCGGGAGGTATTCTTCAAGGAGGTGACAGACATGAACATGAACATCGTCAACGAAGGTGGCCTGGAGAAGCTGGTGGAGGTGAGATCTGGTGATGCTCCTTCCTGCCTGGTGGGCTTGGGGTTTGCAGGGCTGGTCCTGCTGCCATTCTCAGCGCGGACAGGGTGGGGGACCCCAGGCTGAGAAAATACAGGGGATGGAGCCTGTGTGGGGTGGCGTGTCCCAGCCCTGAGTGCGTGGAGAGGCTGTCCTGCCCTGCTGAGCTTGGCTTTATCCCCAGTACATGGAGAAGCTTTCCCACCTGGCCTTCCACCCCGTGAAGATGCAGTCGTGCTATGAGAAGATGGACCAGCTGAAACTGGAGGGCCTTCAGCAGCGGTTCGATGTCTCCAGCACATCCGTCTTCAAACAGAGGGCCCAGATCCACATGAGACAGGTAGGACAGGGCCCGGGGTCCTCCTGTGTCCCTCCAGGCTGAGCACAGAGAGCTGGGGAGCAGAGTCAGAGCGGGGAGTCCAGGCTGGTCCAACCCAGGCAGGGATTTAGCTAGGATGTCTGTCCTGTCTTGGGGACTTTCATGTCATTGTCACCCAGATGACACACACAAGGGTGTGTGATGGATCTGGCCAACCCCTTTGGTCTGGAGCCCAAGCAGGGAGGGAGCCCACGGGTGGGCAGCAGCATGGGGCACCCTTCCAGTGTGGACTCAGCACCCAGCTTGGGCGTCATGGCACAACTGCCCCTTTGCCACCGAGCCTGCTGGCACCAGCAAGGCTAGTAAGCCAAATTTTGGGGTCTTGCTCAGCCAAACCTGGAGTGGGGTGTAGAAGGGGGGGGCAAGTGCAAACCAGTTTCGGGCACCCTTCTCCTCCAGCACCCTTGATCCCCAGGGTGGAGCCCGTGGATGACATGCTGGGATGCTGGGGACCTTGCCAGTGTGAAGGCTCATCTTGGTGTGGCAGTGCCCCAAAAGACCCCCCTGCCCACCCCCATGGTTGGTCTCTTTGGGTCCCTCTGACCACCTGCCTCTGCTCACAGCAAATGGACGACGCCGTGTACACATTCGAGACGCTGCTCCATCAGGAGCTGGGGAAGCTGCAGGGCAAAGATGACTTGTGCAAGTCCATCCAGCGCATCCTCGAAAGGGTGCTCAAGGTGAGGGGTGGTGGGTCGAGGCCTTTGGTGGCCCTCAGTGGCCTTGTTCCAAAGACCAGCAGCCCAGGGAAGAGACCAGACGTGTCCTTACCAATTTTAACCAAAGTCTTCTGGGGAAATACTTCTTTATATTGAGATTTTCATGCATTTTGCTGGGATGTGGGGCAGGTGAGTGGGAAATCACCTGGAGGAGCCATGGCTCCTCTGCCTACATGCATCACTGTAGAAGCCACCCAGGGTTCAGACTGTCCCCAAAAACCTTTCTGCAGACAGCAGTGGAGGAGCTGACTCCCACCTGGGCTCAGGCCCCCTCCGGGAACTGGCTGGAGAGGAGGCAAGGGGAGGAGAACCTGCTCACATCCACGCAGAACGGGTTGGGGGGTGTGCAGCAGGCAAACCACAGAGGGTTGTGCCTGTGGGCAGGGGAGCTGCCAGCCCACCGCCCCCTGTGACCCGGGGCTGTCTCTGCTCACCCTGCAGAAGTACGACTACGACAGCAGCACCGTGCGGAAGAA